CATTTCTCATCAATATGACGCACCATTGCCATTCCGTAACGAAAACCATGATTTCCTTCATCAGAATCAGACAAAAAAGAAAGCTTTCTTTTCACACATGAGTTCCAAATCGCATACAAAAAAATCAGCATCACAAACAACCGTAAAAATATACAAAAAGGAAAAGAAAAAGTAAAAGAAGAATTTTCTCTCATTTTCGCACATAATAAAGGAAAAATTGTTTTGAAACTACTGCCAAATGAATCCCTAGTGTGTATAAACATTTATTCATCCATTCAATGTATGGAGAATATTCTTTATATCCATCATACATGTGTAAGCGTGTAAGCATATTTACCACAATAAACAAATAAAGGGAAATGAAATATGGGTGCAATGGGAGAAACTGAAAAATGAAAGCAAACGACATTGCATAAAGCTGAAAAATGCTTACTTACGTAAATAAAATATTTACAGACTACAAGGCTCAACGAAGTGAATTTGTTTGCATTATCAATGTTTATATGTATGGAAATTTAAAATTTTAATCCTCTAAATACGTGCATTTGTATGTAAATACTGGAGATAAATTTGAAAAGCTGCGAATGGATAAAGTACAAACAATTGGGTCAGTCATTGACACAAGTATAGTAGATTGAGATTACAGGAAGTCAAATGCAACCAATTTTTCCATTGATATTCAATGCAAAGAATATCTATCGACTGAAAAGCTTATAAACGACCAAAATGTAAATGTAACTACTTCCTTTTTCCCGCATGTATGTAAATCATCCCAAAAAGAAGTAAGCCATAAAAGGGGAGGAAATTCTCATGTAGAAATATATCATTAAATTTAGTAAATATTTCATCCAACAACCATCAGAACCAGAAGCATTAGTAATGCCTACAATTATGTTCATTTTAATACTAAAGATGTGGGGGAACCACGGCAGTAAGAAAATAAATTCAAAATTCATGCATGTGAGGAAAACTTTATGAAAACAGTAAAGAGAGGGAGAGAGTTAAACAAAGTTTATTTAGTACCTGTTGGTTTTTTGTGTAATATTTTTCGTGGTAAATAGACTCAGAGAGGTAGAAAAGTTTTCCAAGCATGACTTTATTTCATGATAACGAAAAAAGCAGGAAAAATTATCTCATTTAAGCAGGAGAAAAATAAACGCGCGAAGATAATTCAAATTAATTAATTATCATACTTATCTGACCTGGTAAATTCATGCGTCCTCATTAAAGTCTCGCATTTGCTTTAAACAAACGAAAAAAAAAAACTTTAAAAAAACAAGAATTTTTTAGCATATAATTTGCATCATCATATTCACTCTTTCTCGCTCGCTCTCTCTCATGCATATCGCATAGGTTAAAAAGAAAATTTATGACACTAAGCTGCTGAAAGCGCACACAACCATGCAATGTTTGTGCAACTCAATTAAAGTGTATGCAGTCATATAATACAACATGAGTGCAAAATAAGAAGAAGAAGAAACGAAGTGGAGAAATGCAAAAATGTATAGATGACAGGGAATTTTTTTGAATATGCATACATACTCGAGATATACGTCATGATTTATACTCTTGGTGATGATGATGATAATTATGAAGAAATAAGGGAAACAAGTTGGTAATAAATTGACCTGGAATTCAATCGTTTTAGCGCATCGAATGCATTTTGTATTAACAATTTCTCGATAAAAAGCTGATAGAATGAACAATTTTGGTTTTAGATCATCAAAACATTTCCTGCAATTATATCGAAAATTCACAACTTATTGGTCATTTAAATAGCACAAAAAACTTTGTCATAGAAAGTTTGAAACATAAAATACTTAATTACCTCCACCACTATCGCTCAATTGACAATACAAAATTGCAAGCACACAAAAATCCACTTTAAAAAGTTGAGAACGAGGCGAGATGAATGAAAAATTCTCACTGCTGTTTTTCCGTTTCATATTGTATTCGTATTCATGATGCACAACTAGAACATATCACAATAAATAATTGAGAAAAGTGTTTCACAAACATGGCACATTAAAAACGTGGATAACATCCAAAAAGCATTCATTTTATTTTTTATTTCACTTTAGAATTGAATTTTTGAATTAAAATTTATATGATGGTATTAAAAAAAGTTTTAAAATGAAATTTATATGAAAAGTGGATTAAGAACTTTTCTACTATGAGCCTGTTATGGTGTATTCATGGATGTTTGTAATCAAGAAACTAAAATTTCATTTCCTCATCATTTTTTTGAACTCATTAAAATTCAAAGAAGATGAAAGTTTTCTTTTATGAAGATAAATAAGAATGAACAAATTTCATTTGTGTGATGCCTTAAGCTGAAATAAAATTTTAATTTGAAAACATCAAGTTAAATAAAAGTTGTTGTTATGAACACTTTTATTTCACCATAATACTCAACTAGACAACGAGAACTTTTGCAATTCCAAAACAAACAGAAGTGGATGAAATCAAGCAATTAATTCGAGGGTGTTATGGATATTTAGTATGAAGATTATCTAATTATTTTAATTAAGCTACTCGAGATTTCCGATGAAGCTTATCAATCTCAATAAATAATGTATGATTTTGTTTGCACATAATTAATCTTATTTCTAGCGCATTGGTCAACATGACTATAACTTTATCTACAATTTTACAAGTGATCAGGACTAGGACTATTATGATTTTGGTGCAAATATTGATCAAAATAGCCGAAAATTCCATTTATATCATGCGGCATTTCTCGAATTTATTTGTGCATTTACCATAATTGGCTTTTATACCAAACCGCAGCTAGCATACTTCACTATCTATTACGTCAATTGTTTTGATTTGCTTCAATAATTTTTATTTATCCATTATCATAATTGATGGTAACTCCAATTGACATCAAAAGAAATGAACACAAAAAATAGCCATAAGAAAAATGTCCAAAAATAAATTTCGAATTTAATTGAAAGCAAATTACTTCAATCCATTATAATGGCTTCCTTTGTGAATTAATAATGCATACGAATTCAATCAATTACTTAAATCCTTTCACAAAAAATTGCATTCACAAAAGATCATCCCTATAAAAAGCTGTCCATATTCAATGACTGTTTGTAACCTTTTTCATACGTAATAAAATGAATGGAAATATGTGAATGTGTACGGTATGAAACTGAAAAGTCAGCAGTGCTTGAACTAAAAGCAATTTCTGGAAACCATTTACAAAGGCAATATAAATATAAACTCCATTAACTTTCTGTATATGAATAGCAAAAAATAATGTTCTTTTTCTCTTATTTTTTGGCTTTCTATTGAATGTTTATCCGCATATATGTTTATATATGCACACACCCTGCGAACATTTTTGCTTCCACTACCCTCAAAATGTTGCCACTCGCGTTATCGTTATATAAAAAGCGGCACTCTTATTTTCTACACAAACGCATCCATCACTTTTTTGCCTTCTATTTTTACAGTGCCCTATTCTATAGCGATTGTATACATAAAGAATGAAAATGGAAGAATTTGTTCTTGAAATGCGAACAACAAAAATAATGAATGTGTACATTACTTACTCATAAGTATAAATCGGAACAAAGGAGTAAATACGAAGCCAGAAGTTGTCTATTTTTTTACATCAGTGTTTCTCAAGCTTTTTACGTTCATGGATTTATGGGCGTGAAATAGAGGAAAAGTAGCGATGGGCGTGAAGCAACCTTGGAATTAATTAAAGTACTTGACGAATTTTTGTAAAGCCTTCATTTTTTGATGCCCAAAACCTCTCATTTTATGTTATGGATTGAACTGAAAACTAAACTAAGAATGAATTTTATTACTTCCGATATTCAAGTCAGAATTCTAGGAATCAATAAAAACTACAAATTAACCCAACAAAAAACATCACTAGAATTTCTTTAGGCTGTTTAAATAAGATAATCTCGACACATATAAATCACTAGAAGTAATTTGTCTATCTTTCTGAATGAAGAGTGAAAAGAACTAAGAAGATTTAGAAAAAAAGAGGATGGAAAGTTAATAGAAAAGCAAGAATAATATGAATGTTCAGCTATTATAATCGCGTCCAAAAAGCTTAGAGAGAAAAGACAAATTAAAAGAAGTTAATCTTATTTTTTTTTTTTCGTTGCTTTTTGTCGAAAGAGCTTTGTCCGATTTGCATTAAATTCTTCTCGGCGTCGGCGAGGATTTTTGAAGATGAAGAAAAAACTTAGACAAAAATAAACTTGAGGATTGAGGTCAGCGTAAATGATTTATTTATGAAAGCTATTCTTTGGCAGCTTTTTATTTTAATTCAATTCCTTTCATTCCTATTATTTATTTACAAATGTTCTGAATATATATTGAATTATTATTCGATCTTTTGTGTGAAAAAAAAAATTCCCAAACATTTTCTTATCCGAAGCGATTTTCTTCCTTCCGTTAAACCGACATGTTGCTGAATGTTAAAATATATCGATGAACCTTATTAAAAAGGAAACTTAAATCCCAGAATAAAATATATCTTTAGTTGAATGGCCCGAGAGGCATCTTACGATTTTGGTTGTCGACTGGATGTTGTTTTGGAGCTTGTGAATAATATTTTTGATGAGTATATTGCTGCCAGGTTACAATCATTTTTAATTAACTTCTCCGATGAAGAATAACACGAACATGATTCTGTTTTTTCTGCTTAGTAACTAGCCCAAGTCTTACAATCTTTCAGAATTTTTGTTGATGCTCAATATTGAAAATTGATGGAATCAAAATACCTGATGATACAATTCTATAGAATCTTATCTAAAACCCATTTGCACAATGACATGCTCATAAAATGATAAATGATTAATAACCCTTCAATACATCATGCCAAAGCAACTTCCTTGTGACAATCACACAACATAAGATGCTCTTCTCGGGCATCTTATATACGATAAGATGCTTGAAGCAAAAAAACATAAAAAAATGAAAGATACAACGGAAAGAAATCAATTGAATGTTTTTCTTTTCTCTTGTGGATTATCAACTTCCCGATCCAAATGCAGGAAAAATGAGTAATAGGAACTATCTTGTGTACAAGCAAGGTAAATCGTTCCAATTTTCATTCCTTTTTATTATATATTCTTCTCATTTCTTGTTTTGCTTATGAGTAACTTCCCTCTACTTTTCTCTCTGTCTGTAAATATATCTACACCTTCCTCTCTTATGTTCCTTCCTCCCGTTTTGTTTTGTTCTGTTTGAGCTCAGAAAAAAATACCCTGAACAGTTTTTTTTGTTTCTCTATCGCCCCTGGTTATTTCTTCTCTAACTCGGTTATGATAAATATGTATAAATTAAATATTAATTAATACAAAATATGAGCAATACATTATGTCCATTAAGTATGAAAGAAAAGAGATAAAACTTTTATTAGATGATAACGGGCCCTTGAGTTCTTTTCTATCTTCTTAGCTACGCAAGCGATTAATAATAAATAAAAGTACATAACTGAAAATAATTTCTCTATCTCCTTTATTAATTATGTTTCTTTGATCCCCTTCTTCAGTCTAATTATTTATTATGAACGCTACAAAAGCTCTCTCTTTACCAACTTTTTCTCTTGTCTTATCTTTTTAATCTTTCTTGTGACTATGAATGAGAGCTTTTGACTGGATTTTATCTTGATGATTTAAGGATCAAATTTCTTCACATTTTACACTTGTTTGAGATCTTTGGATCGTTTGTGACATGATATGAAACTTTTTTTTGAGACTTTTGTCATGCGGGGTTCAATTTTGCTGGTACTTTTAGAAGCAAATGTGATTAGACTTCGATAATTCATAGATAAGGATTTTTGTAATCTCAATTTTAACTCAATAGAGCCTTAAGTTGCTTAACTCTTATAAATCAAAATTTGTCTTAGTATAGCTACAGGTGCTTTGGATCAGAACATCTCAACAAAATTTAGTTTAAGGCTTTTTCCATAAATTATGCTGCCTATAATTAACCTCGACAGCAAGATAAATTTTTAATGTCTCTAATTTCATCCAAGGAATGTTCAAATTATAGTCAAAACATTCTTTCGAAGAAAGTAACGAAGCAAGAATTTTTAATAAGATACAACAATTACTACTCAGATAGAACCAGTATCAAATATCCACAATTAAATTCCATAGCAATATTTAATCACATTTTCTCCTAAAAATCCCAACAATATTAAATTTCTCTTGATTATCACAATGGAAACATTTTTGGAAACTCTAGATGTGTATATATAAAAATTAATCATAATTCTCTCTTTAAGCAAGTTTATAAGTTTAAGTTTGTGTGTATATCACTGTGTGTGTATATGTCTGTGTACCATTCCAGAAAAATAATGAAAATAATGATGTAAAATAAATATTGTTGCTGCTTTTAAGTGTTTGTAATTAAACGGAAGCTTCTTATCATTTTCCTCAATTGCATGAAATTTATCATCAGCTTAAGTTTATTCGCTTCAAACTTTTTTTGTTTTGACATCATAAATTAATTAAATGTGACACTTTAGTGACTCTGTTAACATTTAGCTTTTAGTTTGTGCTTGAAAAAATATAACATCACACAAAACTTCTGCATCTTCCGCATCTCTTAATTTATTTTAATTTAATTTAATGCATCATGTCACTTCAGCTATGGTTTGACATCTCCTATCCTAGTTTTTGTGTATTTTAGTGTGCCATACTATTTGTTATTGCGATAAATTTGAAGATTCAAGGATGAAAAATTAGTTGTGTTCACCCCGCAAGAGAAATCTCAAATTTGTTGCAATTGCATGCTTCTTATTTAAACTGAAAAGAAGACAAATTGAATCATCAATAATGTTTATCACTGTAAAACTAAAATCATCATCAACATGTTTCATGCTTGCACTTTTTTTCTTCTCTCTCACGAAACCTTTTTCTTTCTTTCACCAATATAAAAATACTGAAAATAAATTTCCCTTCAGATCTTCTTTTGCTCAAAAAATACCAGAAAAAAAGAGAAAAAATTGTTTTCATTTCGTATATTTTTCTTCTCGAGATTTCATCATAAATATTTCATGAGCTTTGATATTCTTCCATATACTATATAATACAAATGAAAACAACGAAAAAGAATGTTTCATATGTTTCAAATTATTTTTCCAGCAGACGATAAAGAATCGAGCGATGCCTCAACATGTGGAAAAATCCTTATCTTTTTATCATGGGTTATGGTGTTCTTAACGATGCCATTTAGTTTATTGGTATGCTTCAAGGTAAGTAACATATGAAATATACATTTCTAGTTTGATTGATTTATATCCCTCATGTCTCCGTCAATATGTAAACAAAATATCGCAAAATTGATTCCGAAATTTCTATATGCCTCGTTTTTTCGCCAGCCGTTCTAAATATTTATGTGCTTAATGAAAAAAATTACGAGATGGAAAAACAAGAAATGCTATAAATAAAATATTTCATTCATAATTCATGATAATAAAATAAAAGCACTAACCAAACACAGCTGAGACTTAGAGTTTAGGGTATCTGGGTTTTGATTAGACGGGATTTGTTCATTGATACAAGTTGATTTTCATTTCCAACTATCCTTTAAAATCATTTTTCATCAAAATTCTAAAGCAAGTTCCTCAAAAATAATCCAGTTCATTTGTTAATTTTAACGACACTTTCGAACCTCTAATCACATCCAAATGTTTACAAGTTTTTTCACGAAAATTTATTCGATACATAATGTGTATCGCGAATACATATAAGCATGAACAGCATCCGCAAAAAAAAGCATACGACTAGCACATGAAATATTGTTGTTCGCTTGCTGATTGTCATGAATCTCGTATCAAAATCATAAATCTCATCAAAGTCACAAATATTATTCTTCTTCCAATTTTCATTTTTTTTTGCTGTCACATCTTTTTTATCTAGAAAGGAAGTAAAAATCAATTTAAAACAATTTTTTTTATTCAAAAATGATTGCAAAAGAAGGATGCGGAAAGTGATTTTTCCTTCAGAATGCAATTTCCTATCGTTTTCTTTCTTTTTGTACAACAGATATTGAAAGGAGCTTTGTGAAAGTTTTTATAAATTTCCATTCATTTTTTCTTCCTTGTTATCAGTCATTTGCAATTCATTCTCAACTTTATGTCAGTTTTTTTTTGCATATATTTCATATTGCTGTCTTTTGCTGCTTTCAAATTAGTTTTATGATGGAAGTGAGTTGCAGCAATTGAATAAAAGCTCTTGGTAGAAAAAAAAGTCAATGAAAGAGGTTGGAAATTCATTAAAGTTCAGGAAAATTGTCACAAGGGATGAGAACTAAAAGAATGTCTTTAAAATGAGAATTTAAGGCCCCTTTTTTGAAGTATCACAAATTTCCAATCTTATAGATATTTGACGTCATAAGTGAACAAGTTTTAAGGTTAGGATTTATCGATATTTGAAACTATTGAAGAATCAAATTTAAAATGCTTATCAGCAAAAAATAAACTTTAAGAAGCACTAAATTCACTATCTGCCTGAAAAATCACATCATCATCAATTTCCTCTTTCATGTTACCACCTTCAATTGAAAGGAATAAGAAACTCCCATAAAATGAAAGAAGTTTATGGAAGAAAGCAGCTTTGTTGTCGCTTATTTCTTTTTCTTTAGTAATACAATTAAATTCTTTGTTATTCAACTTGTACTCAAGATGACGATGACGATGATGATGACAGCATTAAGTAGAATAACACAAGAAAGACAAAGCAACAGCAATGAAAGAAATTGAAGTTTTCTTCTTTATGACAAAAACACAAGAAAACTTTTCAATTCAAGCAAACTCAACTTCAAGCTCATTAAAGGAAGAAAATTGAAAATTCTTCAAGAGGAAAAGTTCAATTGACAAAAACGAACAAAGAAACAAAGCGCGATAAATTTTCATAAATAAAAAAGCTTTCCTGTTCATTCAGAAACACTTTTGCAGAACAAGGAAAAATTCTTTCGAACATGTTCCATGTGTGAAACTTTATTGAACCAAATGTGAATTCAATTTTCTTTCTTAACTGTTTCCAATGGTTTCACTTTGTTGCTGTTGCTTTGTTTGTTGAAAAAAGAATTTTAGAATAGTAAAAAGCACACAAAAGTCGAACTCTTTTGTGTCATAAATTTCTATTCGGGGAACAACAAAAAAGCATAAATCTGCTGCTGATGACTCTCATGAGTTTCCTTTTTCTCGCATTTACGATTTTCCCTTTTCTTCTTATCAGCTTCTCTGTTTTGTCTGCACATTGTTTAACTTTTTTTTTGATACTGTGCTCCTTTGTGCTTATATTCCTGCGGATTTCTTTATTGTAAATTCTTTTCGCTCATTTTTGAGGTTCTTTTCTATTTTTGGCCGCAAGCATTTCCTCATAAAACAAAAAACCACGCAAAAATTTTCCAACAAATTTGATATGAAAACATTTTACGCATCAACTTGGAAATAAAGGCATGAAAAAAAAAATTCGTCAGAAATTAAGGAATTATTTTAATTTTTACCTTAAGAATTTTTTTTGTAAGCTTATTAATGCAACAATTGAGGTTAAAAGGGTAAAGATCTAAAGGTTGGTCAAAATAATAGTTTTATGTGATTGATAATATAGGCAATGATGTGGCAGGGTATAACTTCAAAACGGTTGAAAAATCGGTAAGTTGAGTACTGGGGTTGAAAAACTGGATAAACTAGTCATTCCAAAAACTAAGAAGTTACCTATGCAAAATTTCTTCAAAATTCGCCACACTTTCATCAACTCCTCTGGCTAATGAGCCTGAAGTAACTTTGTATAAACAGCACATTTAGAAGACAAAACAAGACAAAAAATATTTTTAAAATAAAATTTGCTTCATCATTTAAGGAATCTCCTCATAACTTTTTCTTTTGTTGTGCTTTACATGCTGTCATTTACGACAGTCGTCATAAATCGTTGTTACGACTTGTTGAGAGAGATAATTGGAGAACTGACGAACAAAAGAAATTTGAAAATGAAATTTCCCTCAAGTAAATCCAGCTGTGTTTTCTTTTTTTTTTCCTTTAATCTTCCTGATGAGATTGAACCGCCTACGCTTTGGTTGGTATACAAAAGAAATAAAAAATGTGAAACATATAAAACGCATTAAGATTTATGAATATTATTACTGTTGTTTATCCCTTTCATCCGTACTTCCATTTTCGGTTTTTTTTTCTTCAAACAAGCGTCATCATCAATAACAATAACAACAGTAAGCTCATTTAACAAATGTAAAGCACTTCCATAAATTACATTTTTAACACCTCTCGAAATGAATAGGAAGAATGAAAAATGTAAAAAAGAAGGAAAAAATATTTTTTCAGTGAAAAAAGGCTCATTAAATTATTTACAAAAGAGCTTCTCATTTTGCGTTTATTTATTTGTTTTCACTTTCTTCGCATTCCATATGTATGATGATTACAATATTGGCAGAAAGTTTTCTGATTTAATGGATCCATTTTTCAAATTAGAGTAATTCTTACGATGTGTCGATTTGACTTAATGAATGAATAACTTACAATCATAATTAATGAGCGCACGATTTATTATTGCTATCTATTCTATTTTTAGACAAAGAATTGTGTTTTCTTAAAATACCCCAATTCATGATTTGGAGCTTAAATCATTTTAACTAAAGCAATAAAAATTCTTGAAATTTCAAAAATTATCTACAAAAATCACATCAGCACTCCTTAAATAATCACAGGTTGTATCTTACGAAATGTAAACGGAACTTTTTAATAATACCGATAATACCATGAAATGAATTAATAGTCATCGTTGCTCGTGATTACTGCCTTTGTTATCGAAAGAGAGGAATTAAAATTAAATCAATGCTAATGACAAATTGGAATATAATAATACAGTCAATTATTTGATATAAAATTGAACTGATTTAGCGTGCTTAGTTTAATAAAGACATTTTTATATGAGAACAGCTACCAAAGAAATCAAGATATAATTTTAGAGAGTAATGAATACTATTTACTTAATAATTCATGAAAATATTGATGTTATATGCTAATTTTCCTATTTAGAGGCGTGCTTAATATTCTAATTACAAGTGAGAACATTTTCCTTTGAAGCTATGATATTATCTTGGTTTTGAGATTAGATGTTGTTTAGTAATATTCTAATGACCAATATTACCTTGAGAATCATAAATTGCGTGTATTTTGTTTACAATCAAATTTTATACCAGTTCACATCCCCAGCATTTTTCACCACTGTAAACTTTCATTTCATACGAAAATTGAAAATAGAAGTGAGAATCACCACACAGCTGATAAAGTCATTTTGATTTCAAAGTTTTTTTCCATTTCTTTTTCTTTTCGCACATTTTAGGTCGTTCAGGAATACGAACGTGCTGTAATTTTCCGGTTGGGAAGATTGATGGCTGGAGGTGCCAAAGGCCCAGGTAAAATTAAAAGTTTTTTTTCCATTTCACATTTTTTGTACCGAAATCACAAAGTGTAAGACAAACTAAATACGGTAGAAAGTTCTAAATATTTTAGTGCCATTTAATTTTCTCAAGCCAACATTATCTGACATATTGCTGACTTTCTGTAGTGCGACAAAAAAATTTTTTTACTTCCTTTGATGCGGAAATAAAACAAAAAAAGGCAACTTTTCAGATATAAAATTTCATGTGATAACACGACAATGTCATTGTCATCGTCAGAATGAGTGTAGAAGGAATAAAAAGCAAAGCAGAGGATTTTTCATTATTCCGCTTTCAGGAACGACGTGATCCTTCATGCACTTTCATTATTGTAATCATCCTCTTCAGTAAGCTGCGGTGGGAAGAAATAAAAAAAGTTTAACATTGTCATAAGCAAAAAAAAAAAAGAACAAAAAAAATTATATGTATAAAGCTCATGTCACGAGATAAAGGAAGGAAAGAAGCTGCTTCTGCTTCTGCTTGTTACTTTCATACATCATTTCATGAATATTTGATACGTAGAGTAAAAAATGGAATGAACAAAAATAAAGGAGAGAAATGTTTATAATTTTTCTTTCCTTAACATTTTACCTTACTTTCGCGAAACTAACGAAGTGAATAGAACGTATGAATGGAAGAATTGTGTTATATAGAATGAGAACAAGGAACAAAACGAATCATGAAAGTTTTTATATAGACACATGATGGTTTTATGCGCATTTTATTTATTAAACGTAAAATATAGGTCAGGAGAATTTCATTTCCGATTGAGTTAGACTGATGGATCGAAAATTTCATGGTCTAATGAGCTGATGTGCAAACGGACTAATGAGCAATAAGATTTAGCAACCAACGATTCGACAAGTTTATTATTTATTAACTGATGGACTGAAAGATTGATTGATTGGTGGAGCTAATGAGCTAATAAGCCAAGTGATTGACTGCAATGGTTGGTTTGAGATTTTCATATCCACACCGCACTTACATGCCTGAATTTTCATGCTCCTTGGTTTTCTAGTTGTAGTTTATTTCCCCATTTTAAGTATTTAAATTGAACTTTACATGCTTTACTATGATTCTGTGTAATATTTTTTCAGCATGTAGCTATAGTAAGCTCTGAATTTCAATTTAGCCGATTTTAAGCCGATCGGCTTAAATTTCGGCTTAACATTCTTTAACTTGAAATTCTGAGCTCACTATAGCTACATGCTGAAAAAATATTTCACAGAATCATAGTAAAGCATGTAAAGTTCAATTTAAATACTTAAAAAGGGTGTTAAATGGCTTTTTTCGATCAAAAAAATCAAAAATTGAGTTAAGCCGAAAAAATCGGCTTCGATCTCTGGTTTATTTTCTAATGTTTGTCAATCAATTCTGTGTCATCTCGACAATTTGTTATTCTGTCAGTTTATTTAGGTACACTATTTCCATAAAAGTAAACAGTCAGACAAAATCCCAAGAGTTCAATCATCCACAAAAAACAGCCTTTTTCAAAAAGCTAAAAAAAGAATGGAAAGTTCTGTTATGAAATATGTATTACACTCCTTGCTTTTCAAGCTTTTTTAATGTGTTACACAGAAAAAACAAAACAAATTTTATCTCAACCCGAATCAGCCTGTCTGAACAACAAGATAGGCAGGCTCACAGAGCAAGAAAATTATTGTGAAAATTGAGCAAAAGTTGTGCCTTTCGGTGCAGATTTTTTTTTCCTTTTTATTCATAAATTTATGGAGTATGATTCACTATTGCTCTGCCATTCTTGAGTTGAGAAAGACATAAAGCAAGTTCATGAACTGAAAAATGAGGGAAATAAGAATAAAAAAAATTTCTCTCGACTGAATTACTTCAAGCAAATTGAAAAATAAGATGAAAATGAAAATTGTTGGCTTCAGAGATCATAAACAAAGGGCAAAGCAGAAGCAGTATTATAGAATGAGCAGCGTCACTATCATATCAGCATTTATATCTTGGCACCATGTAAATGGAGACAAAAATGAGACACATGAGACCACTTTAATATGCGTGACGACAATTGCAAATTTAATCAACTTTTTGTGACGATATTATTCATGATAAATTTTTCACATCATCTCATATGTGGCTCTGTGACTCATACATGAATTTATTCTTATTATCTCATTTCAGGAATATTTTTCATCTTGCCATGTATTGACGCTTATGCTCGTGTTGATTTACGTACACGAACATATGATGTTCCTCCCCAAGAATTAAGTATCATCCCAATTGGGTTTTATTTTGTTTTTCTATCAGGGGGAGAATAGCTTAGCGTGAAAGTTATTCGCCAACATTTGGTCGAATTACGTCGTTGCGTAAAACCGGCGTAAAATTTTATACCGCGGCGATATATTCGCTTAAAATTTTTGGCGAAAAAATTTTACGTCAAACCATTTTCCCTCTGCACAGAAAACAGCTTTTTCTCACTTGCTTTATTTTCTTGTTGTTTTTTAATGCTTTTTCCTTACTTACCTTTTTGTCAACTACTGACGAATGCTTTATATAATATCCTCTTGGGTTTTTTTAAAAATCCCCAAAATGATTATTTTACCTTCATCATCAAATTTCTATATTAACACCACCTCGTTGTTCCTTTTCGTTTTATTTTTACCACGTTTTTCTTAACTTGCTTTCTTATCTGTTTATTCAGTTTCCTTTTCAACATTTAACCAAGGCTTGGAAACTATCCCAAATATCATATTTATCCCATATATCCCAAAAATATTCAAAAAATTCCTGAGCATGTATGCACGATAATAAAGATATCCCAACGTATCCTTAGTGTATTAGACGTGCAATTTCAGGATATGATGGGATATCTCAATTCTAATGCATATAGGCTCAGGGATTATTTTGAATATTTTTGGGATATTTGGGATTAATAGGATATTTAAGATAGATTCCACGCCTTGATTAAAACGAATTTATAAATGTGTAGCTTCCAACAATCTTAAAAAATTAAATTTTATTTCCTTGATGTTTATAACCTTTTGTGAATTGGTTTAAACATTTTATGTATGTCTCTATCTTCAAAGATCTGTTGTGTATAGTAATAGAGATTCCAAAGATCAGTTAAAAACCTCATCGAGAACCTTAATAAAGTTTAAAGTTTCAGTAAAAAATTCTCAATCAGCTTATCTAAATTCGTATCCCTCTTTTTACCTTTTTCTGTATCTTTCTATGTGTTTCGTTAATTATACCTTAATAGTACAATTAGGATACTTTTTCTAAATTTATTTTTATTTTTATGACACAATTTTCCACCCCGTAATTTTTATTGTAAAATGTTTATTTTTATTTGGTTCTTGTTACCGACTAGAAAAATGCTCATCGTTAAAAGTTTTTTTCTCTGCAATTTTTTTTCGTATAAAAATTCAATTTTTCTCAAACCCATTTGGCTTAGTTAACAATTGAACAAAAATGTGGGAGACAAGGAAAAAAATTGCTCCTTTTGGTGTCTGTGTGCAGAGTAATTTAATATAAAATTTCCTGCTTAACAGGAAATGTGAAATCAATGGTGGCAAAGTGAATACAACTATATGAGTATTATATATGAATATAGACAGTTGAAAACCATCACTGGGAAATTTATAATTCATTATTATCTCAGAACTCAGTATAGTTATTATAATCAGATCTATCCCACCTTTCCATATGAACTTTTAAAAAATTGACTGAAAATTTTCGCAACTTTGCCTTTCCACAAATGAAGCATAAAGAAATAAAAACTCAATAAATTCACTTCAAAAAATTTATATTTAATTAAACAACCCGGAGTACAAAAAAAAAAATTTTGTTTATTGAAGAAATTTTATGCCCTAATTATAAATGAACATGCTGCAACATCGTTTGCCACCTTCAGGGAAAAAATCCTCGCATCCCTGACTGTGAACATTTCATGCAACAGAATCAAATTTGTACGATACAGAAAGCTTAATTAATTCTCATAAATTTATCCTTTTGCTTCGAGTTTGTGTTTTTATTTCGAAAAATTATTACAGAAAAGTTTCACGGGAAAACAGACACGGGAAATAAAAATAAATTCTCAAAGGAACCACATGAAAAAAAAAATTAATGGAAAATTTGTTAATTAAGCCAGAACGAGCCTTACAATCTATCAAACATGAGAAATGAGACAAGAATGTTTGAGTGAAAATATTATTTTTTACCGAATAAATTCATCAATCTTCAGTTCCTTTCCTTTTGAGACATTCTGAGTGATATGTTTGGATACGCAAGGAGAGCATTGAGGCTCATTTTTTATTAAAAACTGTCAACATAAAAAAAAATTGTATGCCTTAAATTGTATATTTAATAAATTTATGATACCATGGGTCCAATAAAATTATTAATTTATAGAGAATTGTGGCATTTAAGAAATTAGTTTTGGGTATGGACTCAATTTTTTTTATAAATTTGCCTTTGAGTTTGCTTACTTTTTTGGGTTGGAATTTTAATAAATGATTAATAGTAATTTGAAAAATATCATCAGCATTTTCTCGACAGTTTGATATAAAATTACAATATAAACCCTTTAAAATTTTATGTAGACTTTAAAGCCTTAGCTAGCTTCCCATACGTCAATTATGAATTGCTACTCATTTCATCATAACACGAGATGTTGATGCATATTAGAATGTAAAGTCCGTAAACATTTGAATATAATGCCCTAAAGCTATCAAGAATTTCATCCATTATAAACTTGAACTAAGATTTACATTTCATTCAAGCACTTGTAAATCCCCATAAAAATTCAAGTACTGACTGCTTCACCAACAATTCATAATTATAACGAGACTGTTATAATTATTTCTGAAGCACGAAAGAAAAAAATCTTACAAGACTCTCAAGAATATCATGAGAGCTGCTCTTAAAAAATTAGTTCATGAGTTAACGAGAACAACTTTATTATCGTAAAACTCAAAATGTTGCAAGAGTTTCTTACATTTTTCTTAAAAGATTTTGAATCTTTTATTTCTTCTGGGGAACTTTTGATCATAACATACAATGAATTGCACATAGAGTAAGGGTTTCTTAGTGGATTAATAGAGCAATACAAAGTGTATACAAACAAATTGGATGAATCAAAGTTAAAGAGAAATTATTGATGAAATGAAAAGAATCAAAATTGAATGGGAAACTTATCAAAAACAGTCAAATCAAAAGGAAAAGGACTTGATAAAGTTTCAAATTCTATTGCGTCAGAAAAGGTCCTTCACATAAAGTTTAAAATGTCCAAACAAAAATATTGTATAATTTTACCTTTATATGTGAATACAGATGTAAAAGTTCCTTTCTCCATCCACTACATCCTACATGTACATACTATTTTTGTATTTCTAACAACTTCTAATTTTCAAGCACGTTGAAAAGTTTTTTCGTACCTTAAAAAAATATTTTACAGATTGAAATGAATAAGGAACGATTCAGGAAAATTGCAGAGAAAAAGAAAAATTTTCTTTCCAATTTTAATTTTTTGCTGTGTGTGAGAAAAATACAATTTTAGCGCATTTTTGCGAGGCATAGGAGCTTGTGTGTTTTGCTGTGGATTTGTTGACTGGATTGTCAACAGGATATTGGATTTTTCTTATATCAATGCTATTGGTTGATTTGTTGGCTACGAATAGAAAATCTGATTGATAATCACATTGATTAGAAGCTGATGACATAGCCAGCTCAGTATAAAAGGCTATTTAACTTGTTGTCAAAAAATATTATATATAAAAAGCTTTGACAAATTTCAGGAATAGGTAAGGAATCTGTAGCTGATCTTTTAGACTGACTCAATTATAACCATATCTATTTATGGTTGACTAATTGACAAATCAAAAGACAAGACTTTACTTTATTTATTACTTTTTAGATCAAAGAAATTCAGGTATTTGGTATATTTTTTGCATTTGCTTAAAGGATTGTAGATTTCTGCTAACCTTAGTAATTTTTCATATTTTTGTAGTTTTTTGAATTTTAAACTTTTTGTTTTGAATAAATTTTAAAATTATATATTTTATTAGTTCCTATTTTATGATTATGGATATTATAATTTTTTTAATGATTGAAGTAATTCAATTTTAATCTGACAGAACCCTACCTTAATTCATTTTCCTAATCCTAATCTAATCTGTGTGAAAAAAAAAAATCAATTTATCCACAGATACAACACACAAAGTAGAAACTATTGCAAAAATGCGCTCTAAATTACCTAAGCTATGAAAAAAATTTACTCTTTCTATTTTTGGAGCACGAATGTTGTAACATAATCCTCCTCTGTCATTTGATTTCCACCCCTCAAACTCCCAACATATTTTACCCAAATTCGTACCTTAGGATTAGATGAAAAGAAAAATAGAGAATCATGAAATAAAAAAAAAATCTCTAGGGAATGTAAATTGAATAATTGTGAGAATCTTAATTGAAAAAAGCATTAGCGAAAAACAACAGAAAAAAATTAACAAAAACAAAAGAAAGTTGAACTCTAATTAATTTCAATGGTCTATCTACATATATCCAGGTTCTGACAAAAGACAGCGTCACAGTAAGCGTCGATGCTGTTGTGTATTACCGTGTAAACAATGCTACAATATCCATTGCCAATGTCGAAAATGCCCATCATTCGACACGATTGTTGGCACAGACCACTCTGCGTAACACGATGGGCACACGGCATTTGCACGAGATCTTGAGCGAACGAATGACAATTTCTGGAAGTATGCAGGTGAGTGGACCATTGCGAATTAATTATGGTGATACGTCACCATGAAACTTGAGTTTTTGTTCAAACCAAACGGCTAAAAATGGCCAAAAGGTGATTGCATTTGGATTGTCTCCTTCATGCTCATGATAGATGTGTAGAGTGTGATACGCAAATTGTTTATTCATATGCAATTTTTTTTCGAATCTGTGTCACAGTCTCTCACCACCATGGCCATCCAGTAATGTCTATAGGCAATGATCTGTTGCCGATTTTCATCGTACACGTATATTTCGCGAAACTGTACTATGGACATTAATTAAAGTGAGGCATTCCAACTTGCATCCGCTAGCATGCTTTTTGCTCTTATTTCACTCTCGCTTCTGTGAATTATTTAAATTTTTATTATTTGTACTTTTTAATTCCGTCGGCGATGAATCTGAATGGAATAAAATTGGTTCAATAGGCTTGGTAGTTTCGATTCTCATTGTATCAACATTATATAAATGTTGATAAATGTTTTCAAAATTTCAGAAGGTTTTAAACCTTAAAAGAGGTTAGGAATATCAACATTTTCAGAAAGGACTGTTCCATAATTTTTGACTGGATGTTAATGAAAACATAGTCGTATATTCTAACTATCTGACTCTACTTGTCTTGCATCGAAAACCTAGATAAAAATTTTATTTCCAATATTTTGCAACAAACATCAATTCCTGCTCTCAGACACTTAATAAAGCTTAGCTTTTAAAATCTTTGATATAAATTTACTTATTTAAATGAGCATCAAAGGCCCACAACTCCGATTTTTTTTAAACTCAAATTTTTCAATTAAAACAGATCTCAGATTCCAAGCCTAGAAAATTTATCTCATCATAATTGAAATGCATGCAATTTTCCAAAACCACCAACAAAAAATCTCTCATATGAGAATGTATGCAAAAAAAAAAATTATAATCGCCACGGGATACTTTTTATTTATGATCATATTTTTTGATGTAATTTTTAAATGAAAATTCATTTATTTCTTTCCGTTTTTTTTTTCCTTTCTACCTTTTGTCAACCTCGTCTGTCTCATGATGAATATAAAAAAATCCTTACAAAAACTCACAAAACACACATAAAAATTATATTAAAAAAATGAACAAAAACATTAAAAACATTTGATTTTTATGTAACTGGAAATGGAATGGATTTATTCTCCATTGCTATAAAAATGTGTGAATTTAGCTTTCATTGGATGAAGCAACGGATGCATGGGGTATTAAAGGTAATCCTCATATATTTTTTTTTGATATAAATTCCTTCTCAATTCTAATAAAAATAATTCATAAATTGTAATACACTGTTGCTGATTGATTTTTTCTTGTTTTTCTATATCCATTTTTATCGTCGTCGTAAAAATATTATTTGATGCCTTTATTCTCAATCTTCTATCTATCCATTAAAGTTGAACGTGTTGAAATGTAAGTATGCCAAAATGTCTACAATGTGACTGTTTTCTTCTTTTATTATTTTCCTTATTTATATGATTTTTTCCGAGAGTTGTCTGTTATTATGGCAGTCTATTCGATATTTTCAACTTTTTAAATTTATTTATGGTGCAACATGATTAAGGCTGATTGGGTTGATGGGTTTTGGTGCATTCCTTTCCATCTTTTTAAATTTTTTTGACCTGATAACACATATTTGATATACACAAACATGTCTGTGTAGTGTCATACATCCTGAGACCTTTGACAAGTTGCTGCCTTTAATGATGATAGAATTATTTGAAAAAAAATTTGCCTTGCTCATCATTTCCCACTGTTTCCCACTTTCTTTGGCTCATGGACAATGATTTTGTATTTCCCACAACAAAACATCCTTATCATTCCTACCAAAACAACGATGATAGTGACAATAAATAGTAATAATGTTCATCTTGTAGGCACACACAAAAAAAATTATTATGATGAAATAAATCGTGCGATATTATTATTTATGATAATTTATTAATGTCGCAACTAATTTAGCGAAAAAGAAATGTGTAAGAAAAGAATGAAGTTTCGTTCTATTCAGCGATAAAAAGTTGTGATGTCATCATCATCATCTTGTGCCATCTTGTGTATGAAAGGAATGAGGAAATATTCTCTATTAAGATTTTTTTTTTCGCTAGTAATTGAAGGTTGGAACATTTAAGTAATTTGAATAAAATGTAAAATTTTATTTTGTCAAACCTATTTGAATTCGAATTTATATTCATGAATTCTTCCTTTAATTCACGTAGTCTGATCGTTTGACTTTTAGAATTAAAATTGTCTTTAAGAATATGAATTGAAGCTATTGACAGAAATCATTAAATATTTGTCTTGAATAAAAAAAAAATCTTTTCTTTTTGATATTAAAATTTAAAATGAGAAAATCCTCATAATGTCTAGATAAGAATAAAAAGAAGGTTTTGTGTATTTACTGTCAGATAATAAAAGAAATGAAAATATTCAAACCCATTTTACTAAGTGGTAACTGCTTCATAAAACACGGATATCTTGGAAATAAATTGAATGGGTTGAGCATTTCAATGGGCGTTATGTGCTCTTGCAGAAAATTTTGGAAGAATCTTATGCAAACACTCTGACATCAAAATAAAAAAAGCTTGAAACGTTTCAATTTGCTTGACCACAATTGGTATTGAACATTTTTAAAGCTATTCAAAAATTATCAGAACCAATATTTTTCCTGTGCTGCTGATGAAGCAGAATCGGACAATTCAGACAGAAAGATCAATATCAGTGCTAGCGGCTTGAATAGTCAGCAACTTTTTTTATATTTTATTATCAAACACTGGCAACAGCGTTTTTCAATCCTATAGTTTACTGCTAAATACATAAAAAATTAACTGTGGCAATGCTACATTTTTTCTAGGCACAGCATTGATTTGTAATCCACATTTTTTGCTAGGATTATAAGTATGTGAGATTTGGATTGAAAGTTTTCTAGATTCGATCATGTTCATCCAAAATTACCACAAGGATAGGAAATGGTTGAGTTGTCACGAAATATTTATTTCCAAAACCTTTCATGCAAATTATTGAAAATCCTCTCATAATTTTTAAAGATTTAACCACTTTTACCCCCATTACATTTTAAACCACATTAAACTCAAAATCATTAGGATGAACCTTTGTATTCAGCCCTTTTTAGTTACTCGAAAAATGTCTTCAAGTTTAACAAGCAGAAGTACCTGCTAAAATATTCTCAATGAATGAAGCACAAAAAAAAAATTTCATTTAAAAAAAATTGAAAAATGAGCAAAAAAATATTCACAATCGCTGAAGAAGCACAAACTTCTCAAGACATGAGAGGAGAAAAGCAATAAAAGTTTTCATTTAGACGTGTAACAGAAAGAAAAAATTTGTAATGAGAAATGAAATGAAGAGAAATTCCAATTCCTGTGGACCTTTGAACTTTTTCTTTCTTCCTACACTTTTACAAATTAGATATCAGCAAAAGAGCTATTTACGAGAAGAAAGAAGCTGCTTGAAATTTTGTAGAATATATTTTTTTATCAAATAAGTGACTTTTTGTGGTGGAATGATTGGTTGACAGAAAATGTCTGTCTGTTTACTCGATTGGCTAGTTGTTTCGCTGACTAAGAAAATAGCAAGTATACTAAGGGAAACTCTGATGAGTTTGTAAAATTGGATGTCTTGTTGTGGTTTGGAAGATACTATGTATAATCAATCTACATGAGATTCTTGACTAGATGAATACTTACTTAATTAAGTACTGCCTTCTTAATATCAATATCACTACCCTCGAATCTGAATCTTAAAAAACCAATCTTTTTTGACAACGAAAATGCGCACCAATAAATTCTTCATTTGCTCTTGATATTCATCACTTCCTACAATGACAAATGTTATTCTTTCGTTTTCGTTATTATTTTATTGTTATTGTTTTTTATGAAAGCAAAATTTCATTTTAAAGTTTTGTAATCTTTTTATTGTTCTTCCTTTTTCTCTTTCTCATGCCTTTATATCAAACAACAATTTTTTTTTTGTGATGGTAATTTTACGTCTAAATGTGCACAAAATACAGTAAGGATGTTCGTTTGCCAGTACAATTGCAAAGAGCTATGGCTGCAGAGGTTTGTACAACATCATCATCATCATCATCATTTAATGAGATTACATCTGTCTTAAAATGCAAACTTTTTTCTTCCTTCTTTCGTGCTATCTTATTTTCTTTGTTGTATGATATATTTAGGCCGAAGCATCAAGAGAAGCTCGTGCAAAGGTAATTGCTGCTGAGGGTGAACAAAAAGCTTCACGCGCCCTCCGGGAAGCTTCGGAAATTATTGGCGATTCACCTGCTGCTTTACAACTTAGATATCTTCAGGTATGCTTTTGTTATACAAGTTACTTGTATTTTTTGATGTGAATTGTATATTAAATGAAGAAGATTTATCTGCAAGTGAAACATGATGTTTGTTGATACTATCGGATGAGATGTAGCTTTGCGTTTTTGTGTTGAATAAATACTGGGGTGTGTGGATATTCGTGTGGCATTATCAATGAAATTAATTTATTTTATCTTACTGAAGTGAATTTTGGATTTATGGATCTGATCAGGGAGCATAAATCAGATGCAAAAGTTTGCTTTTAAAAGCTCACAGACTGATAGAAAATGTAAAAGAATTTCCGACTAAAACCTAATTTATAAGCATTAAGATTGCTTCAAAAACATTCTGAGATTACATCCTTTTACATAAATCTTAGTCACACACATTTGTTAATAAAAAAGCTTAATGCACTTAAGAACTTCAGCTTCTGAACATTTATTTAATTTTATCAGAGACGGATGTCATTGCATGAATAAATGATTCTGATAAGAAGAAAAGTGTAACATCGCATCTCACATAATATAAAGTGACATGATTAAGTTCAACTTTAGAGTACATTAAGCAAGAAACTTTTGTCTTGCTTTTATTTCCCATTAGAGCGACTAGAACCAAACATGTCATAATGATAGTAAGAAGTTTCCATTACAATATTAAGTTGTAATGTTTGTTGTGGGAATTTTTTTATCTCAATTGTATTAGCTATCATTTCATTTGGCACATTCCATCCATCTCACTTAACGATAAAATTTCTGTACAAATTCAATTCGACTAGCCTCAACATCAATTTATCTAATCCATTTGACCATTTCTCTTCCTTTTTTCTATCTATAGACATTGAATACAATTTCTACAGAAAAGAATTCTACGATCGTTTTCCCTCTTCCTATTGATTTGCTCACTTTTTTTATGAAAAAAACCGAGGCTCAATAAATCAACAGAAAGTAAAAAAGCAACAAGAAAAACAACATCAACAGCAATCACAGCCAACGACTTCAGAACAAAAACCTTTTACGATGTCAACGAGATTTTAAAAATAGAAATTAAATCAAATCAAAATATATGTTCAGGATAATCATCACATCACATCAGATGATACATTCAACCACAAAAAATTCTCACGTAAAATAGAAGTAATTTTTTTTTTGTTGTTTCTTAAAAATAGAAAAGAGATTTATTAAGCTTATCGGTATATAAAAGAAAAAAAATTAAATGATGAAGATATGAGGCGAAAAGGACGTTTGAAAAATCTATAAATATATTTAAAAAAAATTATGATGACGATAATGTACAATTCACTCCACATTGGAATCTCTATTGATAGTTAAATGAAAAAAAATTGATACTTGTAAGGTTCAAAAAAATGAAAAAAATTTATTAGTGTATTCACGAATTATAAATATAAAAAATAAATGAATGAGAAAGTCTTTACACATTACACATAAATACGATAAGAACAAAAGGGGTTGGAAAATAATACGGGAAATTTCTTCAAGCTTTAGATATAAGGATTTGTTGATAAAATATTTTCAGGAACTCGAATTTGTAAGAGAATTTTTTTAAGAAATATTGTTCAAATTCAAAGCAATACTTTTCAATTTTAATATTTTTCTCCAAACTTAAACTTTCGAGATGAAATACATCTGTGCGCCGTTAAATTCTGAGAATATATCTCACATCCAAGCCACTCAAGACTGTTATTTTACTTGCTTTTTTTAATATTCTTAAGCTAGAACCTCTCGCCAAAACATGTTTTCGGGAGTTACGGATCTATTTCTGAAAAGAACGCTTGTCATTATTAACTTTGCTGTCTTACAGCAGTGTTTCGCAGTCAGTTTCAAAAAAAAAAACAATCAACTTAGATTCCAAAGCAAATATCTTGAAAACGTTGACCATCCCCAATTCCAACCCCCAATACACTACGAAACTTAAAAAAATTCCATGTGATAGATGAACAAAAATTGTTTTTGTTTTGAGTTGAGCACTTTCTCTGGGTTTGTTACTAAATATTTTGTGTTGAGTTGATATAAAACATCGAGAGATTTTGTGAGTGAAACTTAATATAACTTTGTGTTCTAAACTCTAATGATAAAGTTTTGTTTTAGACAAAAAAAAAACTAGTTTTATGTTATTTCGTCGTAAATTTTGCACACACGTCTTGAGAGATGTCAGTACACTATGGGCCAGAAATGGAAAATTTTTCCAAAAATTATTTCTACAGCTTATATGATAGTTCTTATTATGCCCTACATTTACGTCCTTAAAACTTTGCTCAAGTCGACAGCATGTCCGAGATATGGCACTTCAAAGTTGGTCAGACGACCATTTTCACGTTACATTGAAAATGCTCTCACCAGATACTGGATAGATGAATCTCCTTCAAATTTTTTTTGTTAATAGCTTTAAATAGTTACTTTGTTTTAAGATATAAACAATTGCAAATAACTTTGAAAAATTTTGTGAAAAACTAGATTTTTCTCAAAAACCACGTGTTCGTCATACTTTCGTTTGTGTAGGTCTTCACAAGCACAACCAAAGTTACTAATTTCTTTTTTATATTAAAGATTACATCAAAAGCTATAACTTTTGCATACATGTCGTATAATTTTAACAAAGTTTTGATAGTGAAAAAAAAATTTTTTATAAAAAAAACAACAATTTTTTCACAAAAATCGCTGTAGTGCTTCAGGGATACCCATGGTAGTGGAATTTTATTTCACATTTAGAAAGCTCTCTAGATATGCTATCAATTAATGCAATAAAATGAACAAGTGTTCTCTTGGCAAAGAGCACTTTTTTGACTCTGAAAGTCGTATGTCGAGCAAGGTCAAAAAAGAAAAATAATCATAAAAATTTCAGTTTTAAATAAAATTTAATTTTTTTAATTTAGATTGATAGATCTTTTTAAAACGCGTCTTTTGAGTATAAATATGTTATAGTTTTGTCAAGTTTCGTGATCATTTTTTTAAAAAAATAGTTTTTTTCAAAAAAAAAATTGAAAAATAAAGTATTTGACTTTAGAATTTTATAAAATGCATCTTTTTGTCATTTTTTTCACTACTTTGTCTAGTTTTGCTCCTAGTTTTTTTCCTAAACATAAATCAATAAGAACTTAGCATAATTGAAGCCATTTGGAGGTTAAATTGAGTTAAAAATCGTTTAAAATTTTTGTATTTCTCAAATAGTTCTTTACACAAGTATCTAAGATATAAAGTGTTGCATAGTTTTGAAAAGGTATTGAAATTTCCAATATGTTAACATGAAAAGTTTAGGAAAATTTTCAAGTAATATAGTCAATTTGGGTAAAAAACGCATTTTATATATGCTAGTTTTTAATGTTTTTCGTTTTTCTCAGCAAAGACTTTATGAAAAACTCTCAAAGTTTGCACTTTTATTTGTTATATAAATGTTAATGACTCGTAAAAGTTTTGGAATTTTCCATTGAGTTTTTCATTAGTTCTCCTAATCTGAAATTTTCACTATTAAATTTTCGTTTTTCTCAACAATTGCGATTTTTTATTTATAAATAAATATCTTATTTTGTTTCATTTTTCAATATCTTTTCATTGATATGTAACAATCTACAAAAAAATTAAGACTAAAGAGAAATGAATAAAAAAGTGTCAAAAATGTATGAAAATTCTACGCTATTTTAATTTTTTAAGCCTTTTATGGTTAATTTTACTAAGTTTTATAAGAGTGTTATACCTTTTTTTGCAAATGTATAGCTTAAGACGTTCATCCACCAAAATTCGTATGAGTCTACGCTAAGCACAACTGAAGTCAAATAAGCTTCAAGTTGGCGACAACCAAAAATTTTGAATTTATTAAAATTAAATTATTTAAAAGCTTTAAATTATATCTTCAGGCTGCTATTAATTACATGAAACATTTATAACAAAAGTAAATGAAAAAGCTTAATATTATAGCTTAAATAGCATTAAAACTAATATCTGGTTTTCTTCATATGGAACTGTCTTTTGTCTCGCTATACATTTGCAAAAAAAGGTATAACACTCTTATAAAACTTAGTAAAATTAACCATAAAAGGCTTAAAAAATTAAAATAGCGTAGAATTTTCATACATTTTTGACACTTTTTTATTCATTTCTCTTTAGTCTTAATTTTTTTGTAGATTGTTACATATCAATGAAAAGATATTGAAAAATGAAACAAAATAAGATATTTATTTATAAATAAAAAATCGCAATTGTTGAGAAAAACGAAAATTTAATAGTGAAAATTTCAGATTAGGAGAACTAATGAAAAACTCAATGGAAAATTCCAAAACTTTTACGAGTCATTAACATTTATATAACAAATAAAAGTGCAAACTTTGAGAGTTTTTCATAAAGTCTTTGCTGAGAAAAACGAAAAACATTAAAAACTAGCATATATAAAATGCGTTTTTTACCCAAATTGACTATATTACTTGAAAATTTTCCTAAACTTTTCATGTTAACATATTGGAAATTTCAATACCTTTTCAAAACTATGCAACACTTTATATCTTAGATACTTGTGTAAAGAACTATTTGAGAAATACAAAAATTTTAAACGATTTTTAACTCAATTTAACCTCCAAATGGCTTCAATTATGCTAAGTTCTTATTGATTTATGTTTAGGAAAAAAACTAGGAGCAAAACTAGACAAAGTAGTGAAAAAAATGACAAAAAGATGCATTTTATAAAATTCTAAAGTCAAATACTTTATTTTTCAATTTTTTTTTTGAAAAAAACTATTTTTTTAAAAAAATGATCACGAAACTTGACAAAACTATAACATATTTATACTCAAAAGACGCGTTTTAAAAAGATCTATCAATCTAAATTAAAAAAATTAAATTTTATTTAAAACTGAAATTTTTATGATTATTTTTCTTTTTTGACCTTGCTCGACATACGACTTTCAGAGTCAAAAAAGTGCTCTTTGCCAAGAGAACACTTGTTCATTTTATTGCATTAATTGATAGCATATCTAGAGAGCTTTCTAAATGTGAAATAAAATTCCACTACCATGGGTATCCCTGAAGCACTACAGCGATTTTTGTCAAAAAATTGTTGTTTTTTTTATAAAAAATTTTTTTTTCACTATCAAAACTTTGTTAAAATTATACGACATGTATGCAAAAGTTATAGCTTTTGATGTAATCTTTAATATAAAAAAAAATTAGTAACTTTGGTTGTGCTTGTGAAGACCTACACAAACGAAAGTATGACGAACACGTGGTTTTTGAGAAAAATCTAGTTTTTCACAAAATTTTTCAAAGTTATTTGCAATTGTTTATATCTTAAAACAAAGTAACTATTTAAAGCTATTAACAAAAAAAATTTGAAGGAGATTCATCTATCCAGTATCTGGTGAGAGCATTTTCAATGTAACGTGAAAATGGTCGTCTGACCAACTTTGAAGTGCCATATCTCGGACATGCTGTCGGCTTGAGCAAAGTTTTAAGGACGTAAATGTAGGGCATAATAAGAACTATCATATAAGCTGTAGAAATAATTTTTGGAAAAATTTTCCATTTCTGGCCCATAGTGCAGTAAGAAGCTTATTTGTTTCAAAAGTTTGTCTTATTAACCCGTGGAGTTAAATTAGTTTTGTTGAATTTTTGATGATGGATTGAAAGGAAAATTGATGAGGATTGAATCAAATAAGAATGACTGTGTTTTGATGACAATGGCAAAGATTTAGATTAAAATGTTAATATATATCTAGGATATATCTTAGGATAGGGGTATTAAAACTAGATAATCAAAAAAAAAGTTCTTCAAAAGCTAACAAAAACGAAGAAATTTTGTACTCGATTTTATCCACGATAAAAATTAAATAAACAGAAAAGTAAAATAAAATCATGAGACTAGCCATGCATAAAATTTTGTCATATTATATCCTTAAAACCCATATTTTCTTAGATCCAAATCTAGAATCT